AGAAGGGAGGAGGGGGATAGGATGGTGGTTGTAGTCTTATAGGGTCTTTCGTGCTCTCTGAGGGTGTGCACATTTCATGACCCAACTAGATAACATTATCAGTGATAGGAAGGAAGGAGATAGGATAGGAGTAGTAGCCTTGTGGGGTCCTTGCTGCTCTTTGAGCTTGCAGACGTTTCATGACCCAACTAGGTTATCTCATCAGTCTAGAAGGGCTTTGCTCTCATTTTATATTCCAGTGGCTTGGCCCGTCAGTGTTGGTGAGAGTGGTCTTAGGAACTTGCCTTGCAAGTTCTCTGGTGCCCAGATTCGTTCCTCGACCTCTAACTCCCCCCCCCCAACTTTACTCTCCCTTTCATCATTTTCTACCCTTGGCCGTATCTCCACGTGAAATCCTGAGTGGCAAGGCCGAGGCATAGAGGAGGAGATGGAGAAGGACCTTGGGGAGGGAAGGAAGGTAGGGTGGAAAGGAAGGCTTCTAACCTCTTTTTTGTTTTGTTTTTTCCCTTGTTTTCCAGGTAAGGACACCCAGTCCTCCCCCCCTTTCCCGCCCTCCCTCTCCCATGGAGCTTGGAGGGGGAATGATCATCTCCACACCATTACCACCTCACCTGACACCCCTCCACACACAATTGTGGATCCAAGCCTGGGGAGGGGGGAAGAACTTTGAAGGAACGCTCCCTCTTTGGGCACAAGGGGGGGAACCCTTCTTAACATGAACTCTGATTTTATTCCGAATTTCCCTCCCTGGGGAAAGGGGAAGAGCTTGTATTCTGACCCTCCTTCCCCCCCCACCTCCTCCAATCACAATTGCAGGAGAGGTGTATTATCCCCCCTTGGGGGGGGAGCTTTGCAGATGTTGAAGGGACCTCCTCCCTCCCCCCCAAAAAGAGGTGGAATTGCAGCATCTTTTCCTTTTGGTGGGTTTTGGGGGGGGGGGCAGGAAGACTCTTGGCCCCTTCCTCTTTCTCTCTCCCACCCCTCAGCTCTTGGATCGGGCTGTGGGGCTTTGCTTGGATGGTTTTGGGCAGTCCTCGCAGCCAAGACTGGTCTGTGCACGCGTACATGTTGTACAAAAAAACGGAGAGGCACAGACCGGCATGTGGGTGGGTGGGAGGCCCATGTGGTGTATATCTCTTCTCCCCCCCCCCTCAATTTGTAAAGAGGCATAACCTGTGGGGATGTTGGGTGTTTTCCCCCTTCATTTTTCTCGACTGTCTCCCATTCTTGGTGTCCCCGTTTTTCTGGCTGCACCCCTTCCTCGGAGTCCTTCAGAGACCCATCCCCCCCCCCCCATCCTTTCTGTCCCCCCTCACCCGCCCTTTCCAGATTTTCAAAGGTGTATTTTGGTTTTTCTTTTTATCTCTTTCGATTTCCCTTTTTTTTTTCTTTTGCTTACAAATGAATAAAAAAGTCACCAAATGGAACTGTGTGTATGGCTGTTCTCTCTTTTTTTTCAAGGAGGCAGGGTGAGGGGGAGAGTTTCTCCTGAAAAGAGATTAAAAACCTTTTAGGGGGAGGCTAAAATACTGTATTTGGGAAGGGAGGGATTTTTCTCAACATTTCCAGAGTCCAAGCAAGAAAGGAAAGGAACATTCTTCTTTGGATCAGTATATTCAAAATCTATGTTATCATCTCCTTTTACTAAAAAAAAAATGCTATGTCATCAGTGAACAATAGCAACAACGAAACTGCAGCATCACTTTCCTTTTTGAATAAACATGGATCAGCCATGCCGGCTACAAAAGCTATCTTTGTTAATTCCTTCACTATGCACTGGTTCCATTCATAGCCTGATTGCTTCAAGCCATAAAGACTCTTAATCTCCAGCAATCAGTTTTGTTATCAGTTTTTATCCCCAAAGGCTTCTTTAAATACACTGCTCAAAAAAATAAAGGGAACACTTAAACAACACAATGTAACTCCAAGTCAATCACACTTCTGTGAAATCAAACTGTCCACTTAGGTAGCAACACTGACAATCAATTTCACATGCTGTTGTGCAAATGGAATAGACAACAGGTGGAAAGCATAGGCAGTTAGCAAGACATCCCCAATAAAGGAGTGGTTCTGCAGTTGGTGACCACAGACCACTTCTCAGTTCCTATGCTTTCTGGCTGATGGTTTGGTCACTTTTGAATGGTGGCGGTGCTTTCACTCTAGTGGTAGCATGAGACGGAGTCTACAACCCACACAAGTGGCTCAGGTAGTGCAGCTCATCCAGGATGGCACATCAATGCGAGCTGTGGCAAGAAGGTTTGCTGTGTCTGTCAGTGTAGTGTCCAGAGCATGGAGGCGCTACCAGGAGACAGGCCAGTACATCAGGAGACGAGGAGGCCGTAGGAGGGCAACAACCCAGCATCAGGACCACTACCTCCGCCTTTGTGCAAGGAGGGACAGGAGGAGCACTGCCAGAACCCTGCAAAATGACCTCCAGCGGGCCACAAATGTGCATGTGGCTGCTCAAACGGTCAGAAACAGACTCCATGTGGGTGGTATGAGGGCCCGACGTCCACAGGTGGGGGTTGTGCTTACAGCCCAACACCATGCAGGACGTTTGGCATTTGCCAGAGAACACCAAGATTGGCAAATTCTCCACTGGCACCCTGTGCTCTTCACAGATGAAAGCAGGTTCACACTGAGCACATGTGACAGACCTGACAGGGTCTGGAGACGCCGTGGAGAATGCTGCCTGCAACATTCTCCAGCATGACCAGTTTGGCAGTGGGTCAGTAATGGTGTGGGGTGGTATTTCTTTAGGGGGCCGCACAGCCCTCCATGTGCTCACCAGAGGTAGCCTGCCTGCCATTAGGTACCGAGATGAGATCCTCAGACCCCTTGTGAGACCATATGCTGGTGCGGTTGACCCTGGGTTCCTCCTAATGCAAGACAATGCTAGACCTCATGTGGCTGGAGTGTGTCAGCAGTTCCTGCAAGACAAAGGCATTCATGCTGTGGACTGGCCCGCCCATTCCCCAGACCTGAATCCAATTGAGCACATCTGGAATATCATGTCTCACTCCATCCACCAATGCCATGTTGCACCACAGACTGTCCAGGAGTTGGGGGATGCTTTAGTCCAGGTGTGGGAGGAGATCCCTCAGGAGACCATCCGCCACCTCATCAGGAGCATGCCCAGGCGTTGTAGGGAGGTCATACAGGCACGTGGAGGCCACACACACTACTGAGCCTCATTTTGACTTGTTTTAAGGACATTACATCACAGTTGGATCAGCCTGTAGTGTTTTTTCCCACTTTAATTTTGAGTGTAACTCCAAATCTAGACCTCCATGGCTTGCTAAATTTGATTTCCATTGATAATTTTTGTGTGATTTTGTTGTCAGCACATTCAACTATGTAGTGAACAAAGTATTGAATAAGAATATTTCATTCAGATCTAGGATGTCTTATTTTTGTGTTTCCTTTATTTTTTTGAGCAGTGTATATTGCCAACCCAACTGTTAGGTGACTATCATTCCTAACATTCTCCCCTTTGGGTAGGACAATATATAAAACCTTACAGTTTAAGTCCATATTCCCCACAGCAAGCCTTATATTTTACAGTGCCTTGGGCTTTCGTAAAATGATCTGCAATGTTATTCTCTTGACATGCAGTACTCCAGTTTAATCATTTTACTTTGAACGCATTGTCTCACATTCAGATATCGTAGATCGGTGTGTTTTGATGTTGTCTTTACGGCGAGATTGGAAGCCATCAGAATTGCTGATTCGTTGTCTTCATATACAACAATAGGTTCCTTTACATTACTTTCCATGTCTATCATATGTTGTTTATAACATACTAAGTCCGTACATAATAGAGACAAACATGAGAATTCAGCCTCCATTGTTGATAAGCTTAGATGTTTTTGTCGAATAGACCACCATCCAATTAACACCTTTCCTAATAACACTACAGTACCTGACGTTGATTTATGTGTAGGTAAGTCTGTAGTGAAACTTGCATCCTTAGGCTCCAAATATAATGCATAATGCATCATTTGTTTAAGATATCTCAACACACGCTTAGCAGCATGCCAGTGCCTTTCAGTAGACTCAGATTAAACCTGGCTAATTGGTTGGCACTATATGCTATGTCTGGTCTAGACCAATTACTAAAATAGGATAAGCTACCAATCAATGATTGATAAATGTCTTTATCAAAAACAGGACTTTGCACATCACTGTGGCTACACTCCTGGCTCATTGGTGTCTTAGCCGGTTTACAAAGTTCCATTTTAAAGTTCTTCAGTAACTGGTTAATTTTATCTGCCTGTGAGATTTTGTAGCCTCCCTTAGTTTTTTCTATTTTCAAACCAAGATACTGTTTAATCTCACCTAAATGTTTGATTTTAAATTTCTTCTCTAACAGTGAAATAATCCCAGTAGCTTCTTGCTCAGTTTTAGTGATTAATGCTATGTCATCAGTGAACAATAGCAACAATGAAACTACACCATCACTTTCTTTTTTGAATAAACATGGATCAGCCATGCCAGCTACAAAAGCTATCTTTGTTAATTCCTTCACTATGCACTGGTTCCATTCATAGCCTGATTGCTTCAAGCCATAAAGACTCTTTTTTAATATCCAGCAATCAGTTTTGTTATCAGTTTTTATCCCCAAAGGCTTCTTTAAATACATAAACCAGGATAGTCATTTAATACTGTTGTATCTTTAAGAGAATGTTGTAATTGTGATTGGCTGAGGTTCCTCCAACGGCCATAAGATGGAGACAGAAACCTGGTTTGTTCTTTGCATTTCCTTTTGCTTTTTGCCTGATCATCATTCTGCTTGAATTGCTGTGAGTCTTGCAACTATTCGCAAACTCCATTTACTGAACTTTTTTATGATACTGGTAAAGAAAAGGACTTCGTTTTTTGGATTATCTCTGGACTGATTATTTTGAATACTACCTGCTTTAACCGCGTATGATTTGGACTGTTTGTTGGACTTTGTTTACCCGTTTACAGGAAGTAAAACTTACATTTTACTATTCAGTGTATCCGTGTGCTGGTTGTGTTATTCATCACCACTCTCACTATGTTTCCCTGAGTGCACTCATTCTCCTAACGGGGAATACCTCAACATCTCTGTCTCTCTCTCTCTCATCATCTATCATCTGTCTTTATCTCTATGTCTTTATATTGATATCTGACATCTATCCATCTGTCTTTATCTATATATGTCTGTCTATGTCTATATCATCTATGTTTTTATCATCTGTCTTTATATCTATCTGTATCTTATCTATATCTATGCCTATATGTCATCTATCTATGTCTTTATCATGTCTTTATATCGATATCTATGTATCATCTATACACCTATATCATTTATGTCTATGTCTATACATCTGTGTCTATCATCTATTATCTCGCTTTATATCTGTCTGTCTTTTATTACTATGTCTCTATATCTAATGTCTCTGTCTTTATCTGTCTATATATCTATATCTAATGTCTCTCTGTCTTTGTCTACGTCTATATCTAATGTCTCTATGTCTATGTCTCTATCATCTCTATCTATATATCTTTATCTAATGTCTCTATGTCTTTATCTCTGTCTATATCTCTGCCTTGCTCTTTTCCCCACGGAACTCTTTCCATGGGGAAAATATTCTGTCAGCCAGGAGTCTCCTCCCCTTTCATCCCAACTCTCCACAAGCAGAAGCTATTCTGAAATACAGTCCTCGAACTTACAACCACTGAGAATCTCCATAGATCTCCATAGACAATTGGGACCAATAAGCAAATAAATTGTTACATTGAGTCGTTAGCTGATTTTATGACATTTTATTGCCACGGTTGCCACAGAAATAATTGCAGTTGCTAAGTGAGTCACATGGATGTTAAGTAAACCCCCCCCCCCCCCCCCCCCCGCTGACTGCTTTTGGAAATTGGCTGGGTAGGTCACAAATGGTGATCACGTGACCCCAAGATGCTGCCCACTTAACAACTGGCACAAACGATCATACAATGAGGTAAAATTCACTTAACAAATGTTTCACTTGCCACCTAACAAAAAATTTGGGCTGAATGGTGATCGTACGTCAAGGACTTCCTGTACATGCCAAGTGCCCAAATTTTGATCATACAGCCACGAGGGCACGAAGGTCTTAAATGTAAGGACCGACCTTAAGTCACAGTTCAGTGCTAACTGAACAGTCACTAAATGAACGGTTGTAAGCTGAGGACTACTGTTGATGTTCTTTCTGATCCCATCACCTTGGAGGTGGCCAAGTTCTTGGTTCCACAGTTGGTGTGATAGATCCCACAAAATATCCCTGAGACGTACAATTTTATAACATAAAATAACAGATTACAAGGGACCTTGGAGGGCTTTTCCTATCTGTGGTTAGGTGAGTCCAGATAGGATGGGTAGTATCAGGCACAAGCCAGTTGGACTGAGTGCTCCAAAATTCAAGCTCCACCCTATGCTGTGGCCACGCCCCAGTTTTCGACTTAGTGCAGCCAAGGACATGTGTGTTACCGGGCTCAACTTTAATAAACGTGGAGCCTCGAAAAAAGGGGGAAAAAATTTAAAAGTTCATCAGAGGCTTGGAACTAACAACCAACAAGTGAGTTGGGTTTTTCAGCCCCAAGGGCTTAGGGATCGCGCTCGGGGCACTCGCACCAGCGCGCGGAGCCAGGACCATGTGGGGCGGCTCCAGGCAATCTGCCCGATAAGGGCTTCCAGCTGATTGGCGCAGCAGCAACAGAAACTGCTTGCAGTTTCTCTTTCGCTTTCTTGGCTTGCCGATTCGATCGACTTGGCTGCGAAACACTGAGCGCAACAGCCTGCAGCAGCGGCTTAGGGAGCAGCCAGCTCAGGAGTGCTTTGCAGCAGCGCAAAGCAGCTGCTAGATCAGGCAATCGGTCCAGTCCCAGCTGGAGGGGAGCAATCGGAGAGGAAGGAGATAACCCCCAGCTGAGGGCGCTATAGACCACAGTGCCAGTGCTGCGTTTCCAGCTCCAGCACTGAGGAGATCACGTGGGAGCCTCCAGACCTGCTTGCAGGTCCCAGAACGTGTTTCTAACTGGCAGGGTGTGGATGCAGCCCAGTAGTTGCCTATCCAGGCTTGCTTAGCTGGTTTACAAGGTAAGGAGACTTTTTTTTACTCTGGAGAAGGCCTTAATGGTTAAACTGATTGTGAGTGGGTTGTTAACACCTCATCCCTCCTTCCAGCAGGTTCCATTCTCCCTTTGGCTCTTTCTAGTGCCTCAGATATCTCCAGTGGGGATGGCAGACAAGGAGCAAGAAAGGGAACCCAGCCCCTCCACTTCCAGAGGCAAATCCAGGGGCAGACAGAAGAGAAAGGCCCCTGAGCCAAAAGCACCTTCCAGAGAAGATACAGAGGCCCAGAAAGGGCAAAAGGCACCTGGAAAAAGGTTGGAGAAACACCACCATGTGGCTGGGGGGAGAGGCAGGAGATCACACACACCCAGGACTCAGATCCTTCTCAGCAACCCCCTGTTTTGCATCTGGAAGCAGTGACTTCTGCTGGTGCATCTCGCCCTCTTATCTGGTCTCCTGGTAATTCCTCTGCTATTGGTGATCCAACTCCCTTTGGAGAACATGGAGGGGAGGAAGGTGATTCCATAGTCTTGGAGGAATCTCTTCCTCCTCTTACTAAAAAGGCTATAGCTATACCTGAGACATCCAACCCAGAGGATGAGGATGAGGCTCTACCAGCACATCTGGAAGCCATCATCTCCAAAACTATAAGAAGGGGAGTTGTGGAGGCTCTCCAGGTTACTAGGAGACCAGTTTGAGGCCTCAGACCATTCAGATCCTGAGAGGTCTTTTCACGATAGAGGCAAAGATTCCTGTAGGGGACAGGGGCTCTCCTGTCACTTCCTTACATAGTGTTACCTACAGAGCACATGAGGAAGAAAAAAAGGAGTCTGATTTCTCGGAGGATGAAGATATGGCCCCCAGAGAGGCCATCCTTTACAGGTCTTTTTGATGCTCAGAAGTTTAGAGCATTATTATTCAAAGCCAAGAAAATAGCAAAATTGGGACCTGGGGCTGATGTTGGAGAAATAGAAGGGGATGGTACACTACCACCTGACCAACCTTTTTTTTTTTAGACAAATTTTCCATTTTTCCAAAACAAAGAGAAATAAAAAAGCTCTTTTTGGTGTACAACATAATTCCAGATCACCACTTTTACATGCAAATATGACAATAATTATTCATTTTCTACATTCAACTTCCTATCTTATCCATTTTTAACTTAATTCTTCAACTTTTATGTAAGAAAAGGAACAAACAAATTAATCCTGTTCACTAATATTACTTTCATTCTAAATATCTTAATTCATTTCAATTTATTTCAAATATTTCTTAAACATTAACGTTTATTTTAAACATGACCTTTTCCATAATACTCTTTTCTCATTTAAGTCACTAATAATTCCCATATCTTCATACTTGTTAACTTTTAATTCTTTTGCCTGTCAGGTGTGCAATTCCATCACATATTCTTTCCATAAATTCTAGATTTATACAAGCTTTTACACACAAAATAAAACATGGATTTCCCCTCCCCTTTTACTAATTTGGGAGTGTCACCTCAGTGGTTTGACTATACCTTATTTCCCTCTTCTTAATTCCCAATATACATTTATTTAAATTAGTTATAATAATAATTCCCTAAAAAAGAACTACATAACACTGTACTTTTCAGTCAGATTCTGCAATATATTTTCCCCTTTTACTTTCACAGGGTTTTATTTATAATACCAAAAGAAAAATAGCAAAAAGAAAAGCAATTAATCCATTTGGCTAGTCCTGGTCACTGATATTAATCTCATTTTAAAACATCCTTGCAGTTCATTTCAATCATTTCAATATATATATAATAAACATTAACCTTTCTTGTAACAATAAAAAAAACATACATTCATCTATTAAAAAAAAAGAAATATCAGTGCCCTTCCCTCTCTCAATGGTCTATATTCCCCTATTGTCTAAATAACTTATAATTGCAAATACATTCTTATTACCCCTCATATCAGTGCGGAATCCCCTTAAATCATTAACCATTATCCCTATGTATTCTAAATAAACAATTTTTTTCCATTATTTTACAATTCCCATATTTCTTTCTTTCCTGTTCCTGTTCCTCGTTACCTCTCTTCCCTTGTATTTTCCCAATCCTTTTTTCCCTCTGATTTATATCCCTCTCCCTCTTTATATCTTCCTTCCCCCTTTTATTTTTCTGCTGTTTCTTTCCCACTTTTACAGGTATTCCCCTTTTTAGTTACTTTTTGGAATCTCCTATTTTTAACCCCCTTTTTCCCTCCTCTTTGTTGTATTCTTTGCATTAATTGTCTATTTAAAATGGCTTCTTCTTGATCTGACTCCTCCTTCTCTGAAGTTTCTTCTTCATGTTCTTCAATCACCATTTCCATGGCTTTTAACACCGAGCAAAATGATTCACCTCTTGCATCTAGTAGTTCTTTCATGTTTTTAAGCATTTTTAATTCCCACAGAGATATCATCATTGCACACTCTTGTATCTTATAATTTTAAAATCCACAAAGCAGCTTCTCTTTTTCTTTTTTCTTTTTCAGGCTTTCTGAATTCACAACTATTCCAATACTGAGTTTATACCAAAGTTACCAATTTAGTCCAATAGTTCATCTTTTCTTCAGCTTTCACTTTCTGGGGTACTTATATTATTGTTTCAATATTTCCTTTTCATTGTATCAAATCAAGTTCATAGATTAACAGAAGTTTTTTCTTTATATTTTCCAGTTTAAACTTTTGTCCACAAAATGACACTCTCTGTTATAACAAAGTTCTCACCCATTTTTTCCCCTCCCTGTTTTATTGTTAGGGGCTTTCCAAGCCTCAATAGTCCAAAACAATCAAGTCTCCAATTTGTATACTTCCCCCTTCTTTTTAATACTCTTAAATCCAGCTTTAGTTTATTCCTGTTCATTGCCAATGTATTTTAATTCAGTTTATTTAAGTTTCTTGTTCTGGCTTCTTCCTCTCCTGTTTCGAAGCCCTGTTCAGCTGTCAAAGTTGTTTTCTCTTTTTTTTTTCCTTCCCTTTTTTATTCCACCGCTTTCTTTTCTTTCTTAAAAATTCTTAAAACATCAATCCCGGGGTACCTTTTATTTATTTGTTGCACCAAATTGTCCCGGTTCTTATGTTGTCCACCTCCTTCTCCACTCCTGCACAGATCTTAGTCCAGCTGAGTTGTCCTCTTCAGGGTGGCCATTTTGGACCACCACTCGGTCGTCTTCAGGGGGAAAAAATGCCAAGCCCAGAGGGGGGAGATGCGGCTCCCCTCAACCTGGCTGGCGGCTTCCCCTTAGTCCAACGCCTCTCCGAGGCAGCTTCAGCACATAACCACAAGGATTGGGGCTCTCCGGAAAGAATTGCCCTAGGGCGGAGCTGGCGTCCATAGGTTCATCGGCCCCTTTCCTATCGAGGCGGTCATCAACCCCGTAGCTTATCGTCTGACCCTAACGCGCTCCATGTGCATTCATCCTGTCTTCCACCGTTCCCTTTTGGTTCCTGACGCCCCTTCATGTGATCTCCGACCTCCCGCTGTGGATGTTCCACCACCTGTACCCGACGATGATACTGCTGCTGACGGCACAGTGGTCAGCATTCGGGATTCCCGCTGGCTGAAAGGACAGTTCCAATATTTCATCGAGAGGCTGGGGGATGGACCGGAGGCCCTTTCCTGGGTGGATGCTTCCACGTTCCACGCCCCGGACCTTATATGGAGCTTCCATGATCAGTTCCCCTTGAAACCACGTCCTGATCGTCAGACTCGGGGGAAGGGCCCGGTGGTGAGGGATAGTGTTGTGGCTCCGAGTCCTGAGTCTGCATTCTTAGAGGAAGAGGACTCGGAAGATGAGGAGGTGGAATTGGGAATGCCTTCCTCCCCAGGACCTTCCTCTTCGGCAATGCCTTCCTTCCTGATTGTGCCTCAGGTTTCGGCAGATAACCGAGAGGGACAGCCTGAGGCTAATCAGGAGGAGGAGGGCATATCGGAGCAGCCTTTGACAGAGAATCAAGCAGACGAATGCTGGCTTGATGCTAGGCAGCATCGCAGGAAAAAGTGTGAGCTGCAACGCAGGAGACGTGGACGAATCAGAGACTGAGTTGAGTTAGTGACACACCCCACAGGGAATAAAAGTGGGTGTGTTTTCTCTGGGAACTCTGTACGGGACAAAGTGTGAATTTTCTGTGGAGCTTCAGTGTGTCTTGTGTCTTGAAAGCTTTCGTGATTAATGTTTCTGTTATCTTGTCGGACTTGGCAGGCAGCGTGTGTGATACTGCCAAGAACATTGACGGCTCAAAGGAATTAACTCTATAAATACTGAATCTTCTTGCCTGCTTGTATTTGGTCGGAGTTTGGACTTCTCATCTTCCTTGTAAAGGTGAGACATAACACCGTGCAAAAAAGCAGAAGAAACAGTAGATCACATACTCAGCTCAGGCAAAAAGATTGCACAAACAGACTATAAGTAACAACGACAGTTGCCAAAATAAATCACTGGAGCATAGGTAAACATTGTCATCTGCTGGCAATGAAAAATTTGATGGGAATATAAGGGTTGAAAAAGTAATTGGAAAAAGAGCAAGCTAAAATATTGTGGAATTTCCAAATACACACTGATAAAATTTTGCCACATCACACATCAGATTTAACTGTGGCTGAAAAGAAGGAAGATTAATGAGGCAATACCGGGAGATTGTAAAATAGACCAAGAGAAATACAAATAGAAGACGAAGAATTGAAGAAGATCACAAAGTAGAGGTATGTAGTCCTCAATTTACAACAGTTCTGTTCTGACCCAGCTCCCCAAACACAACTTACCCTCTGACATGAACTCAAAAGATTCCTTTATTAGGAATGCTGGCAGCCCTGGCAAAAAGTTTCTCTCGCAGGTTAACAAGTCCGTCTGGCCGAAAGATGAATTAACTGTCTGCCACATCTATTCATCTACGCCCCCTGCCTTTTATCCCCAGAGATAGGGTGGAACTTCGCTAGCGGCAGTGGCTCTTCCGTCCCAAGGATTGGCCCATAGATTTCCACTGCTCTCCTCTCCCTTCTGTGCATCCGTGCGTCAGGCACTGGACCCAGCTGTTCCTCTTCTTCATCAGCCACCTCCAGACCTGGGGGCTGTTGACTCTCCATCTGAGGGCTGACGGATGGCCCAGGCTCCACCTCTCTCTATCTCTCTGAGAGCTCCATTCCCTCTTCCCCCTCGGAGCTCTTAGGTTGCCTTGATGCTGACCCTGACTCCCACGCCTCCTCCTCTTCTCATTCGGCTGCTGGAGGGGCTGGCGGCCAACAGGCCACAACTCATTCATTCAACCCTACCACGTCCACCAAGCCACGCCCACAAAACTGGTAGTAAAAATTTTTGAATCACACCACTGAACAGCTTGCCACCAGAAATCATGGGAGCTCCATCACTGGAGGTTTTTAAGAAGAGACTGGATAGTCCCTTGTCTGAGATGGTATAGGTTCTCCTGCTTGAGCAGGGGGCTGGACTAGAAGAGCTCCAAGGTCCCTTCCAGCTCTGTTCTATTTTTTATTTTATATAAGAGCAACAAAGGGGAGTGGAGGCTAAAACATATGTCTAGTCCAATGAAAAGGACTAAGGGGGATATAATTCCAATATTTTAGGGGCTGCCACAAAGAAGAGGGGGTCACCCTGTTCTTCAAAAAACCAGAAAGCAGGAGAAGAAGCAATAGATGGAAACTAATCAAGGAGAGAAACAACCTAAAACTAAAGAGAAAGTTCCTGGCAGTGAGAACAATTAATCAGTGGACCAACTTGCCTCCAGAAGTTGTGAATGCTCCAACCCTGGAGATTGGGCAACAATTTGAAGAAGAGATTGGGCAACAATTTGTCTGAAATAGTGTAGGATCTCCTGCTTGAGCAGGATTTGGACTAGAGGACCTCCAAGGTCCCTTACCACTCTTGTTATTCTTTTCTCTTCTCCTTCTCTTCTAATTCTCTTCTCTTCTTTTCTTATTAATTGGAAGGTTTCAAAGCAGCTATTCAATCCAACTAAGATTCTAATCTTCTGTTCATCATTAAATGCTGCTTGTTTTGCATTCACACATGGACTATTTACCGACAATAACATTTGGATCCACATCAGACATTCGATCAGCAATGAATAAACTCCAGAGACTTTACATGTGGGATGAGTCAACCACAAAGCACTAAGAAGGATATTAAATTAGGGTATAAGAATGTAAACTTTAATTATATTAATTCTCAGTCATCCAGGTCACAGTTGTCCCAAAGGTGCTTTTTTCAAGAGGCAACTGGACTTTCTGGTTTTTCTTTGAAGACGTTTTGCTTCCCATCCAAGAAGCTTCCTCGATTCTGGCAGGATGGAGGGGGCAATGGAAGGATCATATTTCCGTGACTTACAACAGTTTATTTAGTGACCGTTCAAAGTTCCAACAGCATTGAAAAAAGTGACTTATGACCATTTTTCTCACTTACCGCCTTTGTAGCATCCTCATGATCATGTGATCAAAATTCATATGCTTGGCGGACTTCCGGTTTGAAGGGCTTCGGCGACAGACAGAAATCCGCGATCGTGCATGGTTTCTGCCTGGGCTCGCCACTGGAGTGCCCTGAGCCAGCTGGTTTCGGGGCTAAGCCACCCCGTAGAGGTGGTGAAGAGGGGGGAGACCACCAGCAGGGTCGAGGGGAGCCACATCTCTCTTCCTCAGCTGGCCATTACTCCCTTTCCCGAAGGCGGTAGGAGCGGTGGTCAGAAATGTCCACCTCAAAGAAGAACTCAACCGGAAAAGAACGTGCAGGAGGAAGATAAGAAGTGAAAGTTTTGGCTGACCGGGTTAAGTTGAAAAAGTAACAACTAAGGTACCCTGGAATTTAAATTTTACAAAAAATAACATCGCTCCCAAAGAAGAGTCAGAAGCAGCGAAAGAAAGTGAAAAGGGAAAGGTTTGAGTTTTTTTTCTTCTCTCTCCTTCCCTATATTGACAACTAAGAGACTTAAATAAGAAATCGGTGGGACATCCGGTCTGCAGTGCTTCGGGGCAGGCAGGAATCCGCGACTGTGCGCGGTTTCTGTCTGTGCTTGCTGCCCGAGTGCCCTGAGCCACCCGGCTTCAGGGCTAGCCACCTCCGTAGAAGGTGGCGAAGACAGGGGGGACCTGGCAGGGTCAAGAGATATCGCACCTCTCTTCCCTAGCCGGCTAAACTCCCTTTTCCGAAGGCAGCTGAGCGGCGGTCAGAAATGGCCGCCACATAGAAGCGCTCAGCCAGAAAAAGAAAGTGCAGGAGGAGCTGTGAAGAAGTGAAAGTGGTTTTTGCTGACTGGGATAAAGCAACAGCGAAAGTACCCTGGAACTTAAAATTTGCCAAAGATACATCGTTTCCAGAGATTTACAAGCGGCAAATGGAAGTTTAAAAGGGAAAGTTTTTCTTTCTTTTCACTCTCCTTCCTAACGTGACAGCGAATAGAACCGCAAGAGAAATCGGAAAACCCACATTGGAGGTAATTAAATGCTAAAGGGATAAGGATTTCTGAACATTTTTTTTAAAAAAAACAAAACCTTTTTTGCTGTAAGTGGGAAGGGAGAGGAAAAAAAATTGGAGCAGAATTTGAAAGTGAGGAGATTGCCTAGAATTTTAAAGAGCTATTAAATATTAACAAGACTTCTAAAAGATACATTTTAACTGGAACTTTGTGACTAAACAGTAACCCTAGAAAGAGAAAGGGAAGAAAGAAGAAAGTACTAAAAGAAACAGCTTATTTGGATTGTTTGGTGATTTTGGAACTTTTGGGAACTATTTTTGATTAAAAGCACTTGGGTGGTTGTTTTGGAAAAACTTTTTCTCTCTACAATGGCATCACTTGTGGATGAATTGAAAATTGAATACCAAAAATACAAAAAAGAAGAACAAGAAGGGAAAGATTCTCTTGGCACTCTTTTTAAATTTTTAGAAATGGCGGTTTGCACTTATGAAAAACTGACTGCGCAACAGGATGACTGGGATAAAGAAGAAACCATCTTTGATGAACAAGTGACTCTATTTGGGGAAGGAAAGGAGAAAGAGGAAAAGAAAAAGGGGACTTTAAGATTTGAAAAAACAACCAAAAAAGAGAAAAATAAGGTGAAAAGTGGATACAATGTTAGAAAACAACAGAAAGGGGGAAAGCAAAAGAAGAAAAGGGAGGTGGAGAGACAAGGGGGTAAAAAGGGCAAGGAGAAGAATAAGCAAGGGAGAAAGGAAGGGATGAGAAGCCTCAATGGTGGGGAGCAAGATATAAAGAAACAAAATTCTTTTAGAGACAATGGGTAAACTTAATTGAAAAAGGGATTCTGCAAAGGTACATAAGATTGTATTCTTATATTTGTATTCATAAATAATGTTAGAAAATTGGAAACTACATGTAATCAAAAATGGGATAAAATATTTAGTGTAATTTAATGAAATTTTTGTGAAGAAAAAGAAGGCAATGAAATGAGAGAATTGAAGTAGGAGAAATGGGAAAATTTTAATGAAATAATGATTTAAAATATGTGATGTGGGGGGGAAATAACTATGGAAAGTATAAGTGTTCCCATAAAAGTATGATATTTAATTGAAAAGTAACGTGTAAAGTGTTTAAGATATAAATGAATATTAATATTAATGATTAGATTTGTATTGGCATTGATAGTTGTTTTAATTACATCATATACCTATAAAAAAAATTTCTATAAAAAGCATTGTGTAATTTTAGAATGTACTAAACAGAATCCCAATGCAAGTTATGTATTATATTAAGTATTATAAATTTAGGGGAAACAGTTAAAGGCGTCATACTCCAATCAGTGTACAGGAGAAGTTTTGTTTAAAGAGAAAAGATAAATGGATAGCTGGAAACAACAGACAAAGAATAATAAGTATTATGATTTGAACTGAGATGAGATAAATAAGATAAAACTAAGAAAGTTAAAAGAGGTGAGAAGTTATATAGAAAATTGAAAATGGTAATAAGATATGGAATGGTATATAAAATGAATATGAATTTGAATTTGTGTCTGTACGAAGAGTTGTAACCCGGGATCAAGCAGCTTTCAGAAAAGATGTTCTATGTTTTTATATTTTATGTTTTCTTTGTTTGTGTATTGTCTTTGAAAATCAATAAAATTGTTTTTTTTAAAAAAAAGAAATCGGAAAAATCCGCTTTGGCATCAATAGGCAATTAAGCTGAAAATAAAACAAAATGCCAAAGGGATAATAAAGATTTCTGGACATTAAAAACTTTTTCTTTTATAAGCAGGAAGGGAGAGAAAAAGAATAAGGGCAGGATCTGGAAGAGGGAGGAGACTGCCTGGAATTTAAAAGAATTTAAAGTAAAACTTCAATAAGACTTCTAAAAGGTACATTTTAACTGAAACTTTGCAACTAAATAGTAACCCCAGGAAGAGAAAGTGGAAAAAAAAGAGCAAAAAAGAAACAGCTTGCATGTATTTGGATTATTTGGTGACTTTTGGATTTTTGGTTATATTTGAATGACTAAAATCAATCGGGTGGTTGTTTAAAAATGTATACAATGGCATCACTTCTGGATGAATTGAAAATGGAAATTAAAAAGTACAAAGAAGATGCACAAGAAGGGAAGGGTTCTTTTGGCTTCGTTTTTCAATTCTTAGAAATGGAGATCTGGAACTATGAGAAACAACAAGAAAAGACCGCAAAACAAGAAGACTGGGACAAAGAAGAAACCATCTTTAATGAACAAGTAACTCTATGTGGGGAAGAAAAAGGAAATGGGGGAAAGAGAATGGAGAATTTAAGACTTAAAAAAACAACCAAAGAAAAGAAAAATAATTCGAAAAATAAGTATAATACTGGAAAGCAACAGAAAAGGGGAATACAGAAGAGGGAAATAGAGGTAGAGAGACAAAGGGGTAAAAAGGGGAGAGAGAAGAAGAGAGGGAAGAAGGAAAGGAAAAGAAGTTACAAAGGACCGGAGCAAGATATAAAGAAACAGGACCTATTTAGAGATAATGGGTGAAAATCTAACTGAAAAGGATTCTGTAAAGGTACGTAAGATTGTATTGTTATATTTGTAATAGAAATAACTTTAGAAAATCTGAAACAACATATGATTAAAATGAGGGATAAAATAGTTAGTGTAATTTAGTGAAATGTTTGTGAATAAAATAAATGAAATAAAATAAATGAGAAAATTGAATTAGGAAGGAACGGAAACATTTTAATTAATGTTTTATAAAATATAAGTGAAGAGGGGGGGAATTAACTATGGAAAGTTTATAATTGTTCCCATAGAAGTATGATATTTAATTGAAAAGTAATGTTAAAAATGTTAAGATTTTAATGAATATTAATATTAATGATAGAATTGAATTGGAATGGAATGTTGTTTTAATTATATACATTTATAATTTTCTTTCCTTTTTTTAAGAATACAGTGTGTAGTTTAAGAATGTACCAAGCAGAATCCGAATGGAAGTTATGTATTATATTGAGTGTTACAACTTTAGGGAAAAGATATAAAGGTGTCATACTCCAATCAGTAACTACAGGAGAAATGTTGTTTAATGAGAAAAGATAATAGACAATTGAAACAGGACAGACAAAAAATATAAATATAATGATTTGAATTGAGATGGAATAAATAAAATAAAATTGAGAAAATTAAAAGAGGGGAGAAGCTACGTAGAAAATGTAAAATAGTAATAAGATATGGAATAGAATATAAAAATGAGCATGAACCTGAATTTGCGTCTGTATGAAGAAATGTAACCCGGGATTATGCTGCTTTCCAAAAAGATGTTTTATTTGTATTCTTTTTCTTTTTGTGAAAACTCAAATAAAATTTACAAAAAAAAAAAATTAATATGCTTGGCCACTGACTCATACTTGTGACTGTTGCCATGTCCCAAGGTCACAATTCCCTTTTGAGACCTTTTGACGAGCGAAGTCAATGGGGAAGCCAGATTCGCTTAACAACTGGGTTACTAACTTATCAATGGCAGTGATTCACTTAACAACAGTGGCAAGAAAGGTCGTAAAGTGGGGCAAAACTCACTAAACGAGCATCTCTCTTGACCCACAGAAATTTTGGGGCTCAATAGTGACAGTAAGTCGAGGACTACCTGTATGATTTTAAACCTCCAAGCAGGCTCAAGGGCTCTCAGAGTACTAACGACCAGATGATGGCAAAGAAATATGACCCTGCCGTCACTCCCAACATCCTGCCAGAACTGATGAAGCTTCTCAGTTAAGAAGCAAAACCTCTTCTTTTTCCTCCAGGAAAAAACAACAGTCCAGTTGTCTTTTGAAAAAAAGCACCTTTTGAGACTTTGATTAGCTTTGTATCTTTGGTCCTTTCAGATTTAAGGGTGTATTTTTCCTTCTAAAACAGAGAAGTACAAAGTCATACCTGATCCCAGATGTCATACAAAAAGAGAGAGAGAGATTAAAGCAATGTGCACAGGCGCAATATTCCAGAAAGCAGTTGGGTCTACGACAAAGTAAATTACTGGGTTAGCATCAACATTGAATTAAAATTAAATTATAATTAATAGCTTTCTGGTTATTCCTCCTTTTTCCCCCTCTCTGCCTTTATCCTGCCTGAAGCAACCTGTAGATTATCCTTCCTTTATTAATTTAACCACTTTTGTTGCCAAGTGGATGGGGGTTACAATAGATTTAACAGAATAAAGAACTGTTCTGAGATTTTGTTATCATTTATTACAAGTGTAAATTTTTCCAAAGCGGTTGTCAGTTAAGTAACGATGGGCTATGCCAAGCAACTCCCTTGTTTTTGCTCAATTTAATTATGTGTATTTTACTGGTCTGGGATGTGTGTTCATTTTTCATTTTGTCGAGTTTCCTTGGGAGAAATTAGGTAAATTAAATTGAGTTTGGGAGCATTGCAAAATGGTTTAATTGTTCTAAGTTTAGCCCTTTGCACACAGCAGAGCAATTTTGCTGTAATGTGAAAAAAAGCCGTAGTGTGTTTGAACAATCCTTTCCTAGATAATTTAAATTTCTAGATCCAAATCACGTCGATGTCGTACCAAATCTGCAACATTGCATTAAAAAGTTCAACCCCAAAGGATCTTGGGGGTGAGATATAATTCTTTCTTTCTTTCTTTCTTTCTTTCTTTCTTTCTTTCTTTCTTTCTTTCTTTCTTTCTTTCTTTCTTTCTTTCTT